CCACTTCTGCCTTTTTTTCCTTTTGCTTATGTGGTACTGAGGAATCGAACCCAGGGCCTCAGGCATGCAAGGCAAGTGCTCTACCACTGAGCCACCTTCCTAGCCTCGGGTTCTTGGTTCTTTCACTGACTACTAAGATGATACTGGTTTTTGATTCTGTGCCTGTGAATGAGCTACTGGGTTCTATTGTCTAGTGTCTCAATCTGATGCATCCAGCCAAATATTTACAGAGAAATTGAACTCTTCTCTTTGGGGCCCGTCAAGGGGTTGTTCAATATATGATGCTTTATTGAACAAAATAACATCCTTGAATGCCATTTAGCATTCACTTGGAGAGTGTGCAGTACCAGAAATGCATGGAATGGGATAAATGGCACCCTTGAGGACTGAAAGAGTTAATGACCTGCCGCTGAGAGTGCTGCTTGGATGCCAAGAACATAGCATAAGGTAAAAGAGGCGGTGAGCACCACAACATCTCTACATGAGGGAAAACTTTAATGAGCCATTAGAAACGACTGGATGTAGTTTCCTCTCATATGCCCCTCTCCACTCAGTCTCTCCCTCCTTTCCCTGAAGTATTTTATTAAATCTTTTAAGGCTCCATCTCTTGTTCTTTGTTTTTATCTGTACATCTCTCTCTCCCTCTTCCTCTCTCTCTCTCTCTCTCTCACACACACACACACACACACATATGCACACCCCTTGGAATTATGTCACTGACTCGACTTGGAAACCTAAACTGAGATGAATGGGTGAGAAGAAGCTTTGCCTTTTCCAGGAAATAATTATATACCATTTACCCCGGGCTATTCTTTGCATTCTAAGAGCATGAGGTGAAGAATTCCTTTCTTTTCCTTCCACCCTAGTCACAGAAACCTTGTTACTGATTCAAGGGCTGTGGCTGATTAAATAAAAACCTGAAATCCAATGATGAAACAGCCTTTTTTGAGTAGTTCTGGGAACCTAGATGAACAGATAGTAAAAACCCAACTGATTGCTCATTAGCCAGAAGACAAGCTTAGCTGTCTTTGACCTAAGCCTGTTACTACTGGAATGGAGGTTTTTGGAGAGTAAAGACTATCAACACTGAGAGCTGGGAGTATGGATCAAGCAGTAGAGCACCCGCCTAGCACGCACAAGGTCATTTTAAACTCCAGTACCATCAGAAGGAAAAAAAAGACAGTTGATCTTGCTCATGATGGCACTTCGTATCTGTAGTTTTGATTCTGAGGACATCGGGATCCCAAGGGTGGTCTGATATTCTGATCAATTTGAGAATTTTTTTGTTAGAAAGCTAGATGATTTGGTTAATTGATGGAATAACATACTGGCTAGGGCCTGGAAGATCTCACTGTTTGTATTCAAAGGCTACTCAAGTGTGACTGGCCACATTGACTTCCATGTGTCTTTGCTGGCTTGCTTGAAAAACATGGTAACATAGAAATGATAGCAGAAAATATGCATAGAAAGCCTCAGGGGTTATTGAAAGTTCTATGTGAAATGAATCAAGCACTTTGCAGTGTGATACGTAGAATGCACTCTGTAAGTGTTATTCATTTTGACAAGCCAAACAAAAGGAAAAATGGATAGCTCTTGTCTGTCCCTCTCATTTTTTTTTCTCTGAAAAATTACTAGTCGATGAAATCCAGAAGATTCAGATATAGTCAGGTTGCCCGGTCTCTGGGAGTGTGGCCTGTGCTTTATATCTTTTAAGCAATTACTATGACATAAGTAGCTTCTCAAATGTATTTATAAAATGCATATTTCTTTTCATACTCCATTGCACCTAAACTTTTTGGCATACCTCCATGATTAAATACATAACCTATTTGCATACATGCGTTTAAGTACTACTTGGTAAGTATTAACTAAATATTAGCCTTCCCCAGGTGTAAAACTTCCACTGTAAATTCTACCTTCTTTTAAAGACTTTTCTTTTCAATAAATGATCAAGGGTCATGCTATAAGATTAACAACCAAAATGCAAAATGAAGAAAATCCACCCCCCCCCCCCCATCCCGGCTCAGACAATCTGCTTTCTTTTGGTTTAATTCACTTAGGGATGAGAATATCTTAGGAGACCGTCCAGTACAGAACAGATATCAAACATTCGGTAAATACTCCGGCTGAGTTTAATTAGTAGTGATTTTCATGGCACCAAAGCGATTGCTTTTTAAACATCTTGTCTCTGGCAATTGATGGGGGTGAGGAGGCAGCTGTAATTGTCAGAAAGATAAATGTTATGGTTTAGAAAGATGCAGCTGAGAAAGATGCTTCCTCGCCTTTAAACAGATCTAGATAAAAAAATTCCATGGCGAAGGAGTGGAAAAGATCAAAGGGGCAACTTTGATCAAGATGCATTGCACTTATAAACTGATTTGTGGAGTGGTAGCCTCTTTGGATACCTACTTAAGGATAATAAAAATATCATTTAAAAATGTCCGCAGTGCAGGAGGGAGCAAGGGAATTAGAATCCGGGTTTTATCAGTAAGTCAAGAAGAATGTCTTTAGAGGAAATAAGAGAATTTTCTTCCACAATGTCCAGCCTTAGAATGCTGTCATTGTTTTAATTTTTTTAATTTCTTGTATTCTTTGCACAACCTATATCACATCCACATGCATATACATACACATATATGTAAGCCTAAGCGGAATAATTTCTCTAAGAGATTTCAGTTTAAGCCACTATGCCATCTTAGCCATATTATAACTTAATGGGCAGGTTAAAAAAATTAGCAATAGTCAAGAGACAGAATCTTGAGGATGATTATTGTTTAAGTCTTTGAGGTTTTCCTGGCAACTTCTCTTCTGTAGGATTTAAATTCTGTGAATAACATGGTCAAAGGGGCGTCTGGATACGTGGGGGACTATTTCGGTCTTTATTAGAATGGTGCAGAGTACAGGTGCATAGCGTAATTATTCAGTCTACACTAGATTTCTTTGCCAAGTGGGGCCAGTTGGTGTTTCTCAGGATTCCATTTGACGGACAGGTCTGAGGAACGTGAGCACCGAGGCATGTAGCACGGCAGGGTAACTGCTTTGGTTTCCAAAATTTGAATGAAGTCCTAACATTCCAGGGGGGAATGACAGCATCGGTATTACTAAGCAGGCGATGGAGAAATGAAAATGATAAAAATAATAAAAGGGGATTAAAACTCAGGAACGAAAACTGAGCTAGAAAATAAAGCTGACGTTCAGAGTGGGAAGTTTCACTCATCAGCCTCCTTCCTCCTGGCAATCTCTGTGGTTAAGGAAACTGAAGGATCTACTTGCCTTTGCTTCTAGGTATTAAGAAGCTGTAACCTTGGTTTTCCCACGGTGTTTCAGATGTTCACATATTCTATTTGGCTCAGGATAATCTATCACTTTCTCTTCTTTTGTCTCCCATCCATTATTAATAAGCAGCTTTCAATGAGATTGTTTATGCCATCTTCATATGTACTTACACTGTATTTTGAAATCATTCACCTTCCATCTTTATTTCCCTCTTGCTTCTCCTCATCTTCGTTGTCATGTACAACACACACACACACACACACACACACACACACACACACACACACATTTATTTATGTATGTATATATAAATAGAAAATGTCTATGAATATGTACATCTTCTAAGTCTTGCTTCTACATATAAACAAAAACATGATACTTGGCTTTTTGAGCTTGATTTATCTCACTCAACTTGATGTTCTCCAATTTTATCAATTTCCTTGAAAATGACATAATTTTATCCTCCCTTATGGCTAGGTTGTTTTCCATACTGTACATGCACTATCAATTTATTTGCTGTTGGACCCAAAGTGATTCCACCCCTTGGTTATTGTGGAGAGTACTGCTGTACTAAACCCAAGTATTCAAGTATCCCTCTTGTACTGATTTTCACACTTCTTGATATATGCCCAATAGTGGTTTCACAGGTCATAAAACAGGTCTATTTTTAATTTCTCAAGTAACCATCATACTGATTTCCATAGTGGTTGTACTAGGTTATAGTCTAGTCAACAGCATATGAAGATTCTTCTTTCCCTCAATCCTGGCCTGTTGTTTGTTTTCTTGATGACTGCTATTCTAACTGGAGTCAGATGGAATCTTAGTGTAGTTCTGATTTGTATTCCTTCATGACTAATGTTGCTGAGTATGCTTTCATATATCAATTAGCAATTTGTGTTTCTTCTTCTTAAAACTGTTTATTTTTTAATTGGATTATTTTTGCTGTTTGATTTTTTAGCTCTGTGTATTCTGAATATTAATCTCTTATCTGTTGAATAGCTGTCAGAAAACTTTATCCATTCCATATTTGTCTCATGCAATTAGTATACATTTTAAAAAAAAGAATGATAGAAGAATAAAACAGACGATATCCTGGGCATACCAATAGGAGAGGGGTGGGCCAACACAGGACCATGAAGAGGAATATGATCACAGTAGCTTATTTGCATGTATAAAAACAGAACAATGAAACCTGTTGGAATTGTCCTAAGAAGGGGAGAGAGGGGAAGCAAAAGTGATAGATAAGGTTGGTTGGGAAAGACTGTATGTAGTGTGGAAATGTCATAATTGAATCTTCCTGCTAAAACTAATATATAAGCCCCTTAGGTAAAGATGGACAGAAAATAAAAGGTCATATTCTAGCAAATGGCTACCACTATGTTTTGGGTAATGGACTCATCTATGCTTGAAAAGCTTGAAAACTTAGCAAGATGATAAAGCATTGCTAGGAGTCATGACAACACGTCCACATGAGAATTCAAGGTGAAGTCCCCAGCTTGGAAAGTATTAAGACCTCCAGACAAGAACCACCATTTTGAATTTTCTTTGTTTCCATGTCCTACATGTGAAATGGATGTTTCTCCTTCCTGTTTTAAAATTTCTTCCTCTGTTATCCTATTTTACTAAAATAAATCTTTGCTTAACTTCTTGCTTAAAGTTCTCTTTTTGCAATATTTCTTTTTCTTTTTTTTTTTTAGAACAATAAACACTTTTATTACATGAGCTAAGGATGGTAGATGACTTTATTTGCCTTTCCGGGCCTTGATCTTCCTCAGATAGAATTCCAGCTCCTTGCCTTCTAGCACATAGCCATCTGCTCGGCCACACTGGCCTGGTCGGGATGCAATGCAGGCAAGAAGCTTCCCTTGTTGGAATTGCTCCTCTAATAGACTGCTGATTTTGGCATTCTTTTTTCTTTCATCATATTTCTTCTGAATTTTCTTGGATCGCTTTTTGTTTAAAGTCTCTTCCTCCTCAGGAGTCAGCTTGGCCCCCTTCTTGCAGCCCAGGGGCAGTGCATAATGGGATTCATACCACAGCCGGTACGGTGTGCTGTCGATGAGCACAATTTGCAAGATTTCTTGAAGGCTATTTATTTATTTATTTGTCGGTCATGGGGCCTGAACTCTGGGCCTGGGCGCTGTCCCTCAGCTCTTCAGCTCACGGCTAGCACTCTACTACTTGACCCACAGTGCCACTTCCAGCTTTTTCTGCGTATGTGGTGCTGAGGAATTGAACCCAGGGCCTCATGCATGCAAGGCAAGCGCTCTACCACTGAGCCACCTTCCTAGCCCCCAGATTTTTTATTGTAGATATCAAATCCCTGAAGTACATGTGGAAATTTGACAGCTGTTTCTATATTCCAGTAACACTAGCAAGGGACAAATATCCATAATAAAGTTGTTATCATCGTTTTCCTGTTAACTCTTGAGCGTTGAGATCTGCACCATATTCTATAATTATGATCCTTCTATCAGCAGGCTGAAAACAGATTGTTTATATAAAATTTCAGATACTTTGCCTTTAAAAATAATAAAGTTGAGCTGGTTGCCAGTGGCTCACGCCTGTAATCCTAGCTACTCAGCAGGCTGAGATCTGAGGATCATGGTTCAAAGCCAGGCTTGGCAGGAAAGTCCATGATACTCTTATATCCAATTAACCACCAGAAAACCGGAAGTGGCACTGTGGCTCAAGCGGTAGAGTGCTAGCCTCGAACTGAAGAACTCAGGGACAGGGCACAGGCCCAGAATTTAATCCCCACAACCGACAAATAAATAAAATAAGTAAATAAATAAATAAAATAAAGTTGGAAAAGCCAACTATGGCAATGGAATATTAGTTTATTATTAAAATCTGCTTTTCAGAAAGAGAAAATAACATTGTTGTATAACAGAATACCAGAATTAATATCTGTTTCCATGGTCGCATACCTTTGGAGCACAATGTGGTGATTTTGTTCAAACATATCTTTATATTTCCTACCCTCTCTTTACTCTTCCTGAGTTGGAGAGGGAGGTAATTCCCTCAGGACCCTGAACAAGTGTCTGAGCTACCCTATATCCTTTCTGTATAGTAAGATAAACACACTTTTCCTACAGTCATTTCAAGTCACAGACACAGTCTAATTCACTCCGGACATGCCGGGTCAACACTCCAAATATAACCTCATATCAAATTTCTCCCACCTAGCTAGGTCCCATTCCAGCCTGCAGCCTGCAGTAAGAACAAAGACAAGTTATCTCTTCCTCCTACTCCCTTCCTGCTCACCTCCTTCCAGGATCAAATACAGGGGAGGCAGAGAAGAGACCTACAAGGATAAGGTCATTGTCACTTGGCTAGGTGGCTTTGGCTCCCTGACCTGGCAGATGGTCCCAGACACATGCTCTTAGGCTTCCTGACTCGGAATATGGGATAAAAGTGGCCTCTCCGGTATGACATTTTCAGGGACTCTTCTTTCCTGTTCCTCCCTCTCTGGGAGGTAGTTCAGTCTTTTGCTACCTGTGATATATACATCTACCTCCATTCTCCTGACCTCATATCACATTCTCATGGGAGTTCAACTCAATAGGAGATAGCATTAACAAAGAGTACCCCTCCCCCCATATCTCTTGTTTAGGCAAACTTGGAGTGATTATAAAATCCCAACCATGTCCTGCCCTTGAGTTTCCCTTACCTTCTAGATTTCCTTAGGTGAACCATCTACTCTGCCTTAGAGGTGTCCAGTGAGAGTCAGTCATCTTGTGTTATTCCCAAATAAAGGAAACACTTGCCCTCCTATCCAGGCTGGAGGTGAGAAGGAAATGGGAAGGACTGACAGATGGGGGTGGAGATTTAGTGCACGACAGTGTCTTGCTCCTCTGAGATCAAGGATTTATTTTTATGTGATTCGTGGATGGAGGAGCCCAACTGCATTCTCAGTTTCTTTGGGGCCATTGTCTTTGTAAAACTTTGTAATGCTTTTCTACATATTTCAAATAAAGTATGCCATATGCTTTCTTAACCATAATAAGAAAGGAAGAATCCAATTCCAGCTCGTTTTTGTTGTTTGCAATTTGAACAGTGTGCTCTAGTTTGGATCTAGAGAATCTCCCCAAGACCCACGTAGTGTACTATCAGAAAGTGGTGACCCCTTTCAGAGGTAAAGCCTAGCGGAGAGCTTAGGTCCTTGGGGACAGGTTGAAGATTTACATGGTTTGAAGGTATATAGATGGCATGCAAACATTTGGAAATATGATTTCAGTAGTGGGAGCAAATCGAAACAAACCAACACATCCTTTACTTAGGGCTGTTTCTGTGCTAGGTATTGTGCAGACTTATGAGAGAGACATATAAATAAATAAAGCAAGGTTTTACCTCTTGCCACTCATGTCAGTAAAGAAATTTCAAGAAACTTCTGGAGCTTATAGAGTTGGGAGCAGGCAAAAATTCATTCTTTCTTTGAGATCTGGTTGGTAGGAACTGAAGTCTTCATGAAAAGAAGAGAGTTGTGTCCTATTCCCTATCCCTTAAAGAAAGAAGAATTTAAGTTTAAAGCTATATTTAGTTTTGTTTAACTGAAGGATTAATTCTTCCTTACATGAACCTGCAAAGAGCTTTCTATCATAGTTTATGTTGATCATAGATGCATCACATAAGTTATTGCTTAGTTCTTGCAAAAATCCAAAAGGGACATTTTGGGTGAGCAATTGCTGCCTGGTTGTCAAGTTGATGGTTGTTAAATGATGTTATGTTACAAGCCGAAACGATAAGCAGTTTACAACACAGATATTTCTTTAAGAGGCATTTTCCCTCTGACTTACATTCCTACTCTCATACTGATTTTTATGAATGTGAAGAGCTTTGGACTTGTAGCTATTCCCTGAAGACTCTTCTACCTAATCTGTTGCTCATTTTAGAGCAATGGATTAAGTCTGGGTACAAATATTCAATATGCTATTGAGTATTACAACATGACCTTACATTTTTTAGACTAAGATTTAATTTTGACACAGAATGGCAAGGTATAGATTTTGTGGAGTACCAAGTAGTAAATAGTTGTGTTTATGTTGTGTGTGCTAAAATTGCTTGGGCTACAGCTTAGAGGCTCCAGGAACTCTCAATATTAGATATTAACAAAAAACAAACCACACTCTTGTTGGATTTTTTTATATGTGTCGTTGTTTTTGTGAATATCTGACATTGTAGTTATTGTATGCTTAAATACATTTGATGTATGTGAATGTATAATTCACTTTCATGGCATGCACATGCACAACTTTTATTACAAACAAAGCACGTGGCACTTCAAAAGATCAACATTAATTGGCTAATGAGTTTCACAGACTGTAAAGAAATGAGGCCTTCACTAACTGCTTGCATTTGTGATTCAGTTGATGCTCAGAGATATTAATTTCTGACCTAGATACTTTAAGTAGCTTGTTCCTGGGAAAACTATGAGGTAGAGAGTTAACAACAAAAACCCATGTCCTAATTAAAGTTTCCCCAAGTGCTTTGTTTTCATATTGATTGCCATGAAATGGGTAGGGTAAGAAAATCATTTTCTGGATTAAATCAGAATTTAATTGTATATTTAGGAAATATCTGGTAAAAAGGTATTGTATTAGAAATTTAGTATTGCTTTCCACTAGGAACTGAAAGGTTTAAATCTATGCATAGTTTAGCATTCAATAACTATGATTCAATATTCAATGTTGACTTTCATTAAGAAGGAAATCTACTTTTCATACGCATGTATATTCTAAAGGATGTTAAATGGAGGGAGGTTCCAATCGTAGCCATTATATCCTTTTTGTTCCTTGTGTGTGTGTGTGTGTGTGTGTGTGTGTGTGTACTGAGGTTTGAACTTAGGACTTGGGTGCTGTCCCTCAGCTTTGTCACTCAAGGTAAGTGCTCTACCATTTGAGCTAGAGCTCTACTTCTGACTTTTTGCTGGTTAATTAGAGGGAAGAGTCTCATAGACTTTCCTGCCTGGGCTGGTTTTGGGCCATGATCATCAGATCCCAGCTTCCTGAGTAGCTAGGATTACAGACATGAGACACTGGTGTTCAGCCTCTATATCTTTATTATTCCTAAACTTCTCTTTGCCCATTCCCCTCTATCTCCCACCCAACCTCTCTCTCCAGGGCAGCTCATGTGTCTTCCACTCACTGTCTTTTCTCCTCCCTGTCTCATAGCTCTTTGTGAGTCTCCTTTTTCTCTTTCGTTATATTCTTTCCCTCCTCCTTTCCTGTCAACTGAATAGATGGAAGGGGAGGAGTCAATAGGTCTTGTAATTACTGAACTGTGGCCTTGGGGGCATGATGTAATATTTCTATTTTAATATTTTTTTATCGTGTTGCATTTGACACTAATGAGTTTTAAATGTGTCTTATTTTATTGATATTGATAAAAAATAAAGTTCTTGGTACACAATTGTTTATAACAGAGTGTTCTAGAGAGGATGAGCTGGGTGTTATCCCTGACGTATTATTTCTGGAAGCATTGTCAGTACTATTACCCTGCTCCATTTGGTGCCTTTTAGGTTAATAAGAGACATTCAAGATTCTGTGTCTCCTTATTTTTTCAGCCTTTAAGTGTGGTGACAGAAGGATTTATTCGTGGCAATTAGAGTGGTGCTCTGCTTCAAACTGCTTGACCATCTGGCATGAGACTCAGTTTCTTGCTTTGTCCTGACCATGTTCCTTCTATATCCCTAGTACATTATTTATATCTCTATTAATAGAGAAGTTTGTCCTGAATTATAGATATTCATGTTCACACACACAGTTCGACATAATGGATGAGGAGCTCTACAGTGCTTTACACAGCGCAGGGTGAATAAATGACTCGGGCTGACTCAAACTGCTTGCTGAGTTATAGACTCAAACCTCAGTTAATCCGCACTGTAGCTCTCATCTGGCCGATGGCCAGCAGTGGAGCTGGACTTGGTACGTATTTCTGAGCAATGTGAGAGCAGCCATACAGCTGGCACCGGGACTGGGAAAGTTTTCTCTCCACTAAACTCCGCAAATATATCGTGAATGTCTACAGAGATGATGTAGAAAACCCTGAAGGAGACACAATGAGAGACAAACTTTAGAATAACTCAGACTTCATCTTGAGAAAACTTACTGTCTTTGTACAATTTAATTCACTGGAATACAAAATGAAACAGAGAATAAAACACATCATATCCAGGCTATACCTCATATATTCATATGAGGTATGAATATATACATACATACGTACAAACATACAAACATGGTATATTGTGACTATATGCCATTTGAATTCAATATTTTGTGCTTCACTGTTAGTATCATTAAAATTGATAAATAAAAAGTATAAAGTTAAGGCACAGAAAGAGGCATAAGAGGTAAAGATTTCTCAGGTTCTCACTTCTGAGATAAACCAGAATGGCTGATCAACGGATGAATTTCATGACATCTAACAAAAACTACAGTTCTGTCCTTAGTACTAGAATGTCTGGGCTCCCTAAACAGGATTCTTCTCCAACCACTGACAGATTGAAGTTCTTCTTGGGTGAGCTGTTTTGCCATCCTCCCGGCCAATTTCTTGATAGCTTAGCATTTCCTCCTTCACCAAAATTCCTGTGTGCTGAGCTATATGCCAATAGCTGTCTACACTATATTCCATGAACTGACACTAGTTGAACTTTCTTGGTAGAAATTCTGAGCTTTGAAGAGCCATCTGTATACATTCTATTTTATAGATTTTTGTTACAAGGAGGAAGTGTATAGTATCAATAGTAGGAAGAAAAATGAAGAATAGTGGTAAGAGTAGTAGTAATGGCCATGGGATTGTTATTTGATAGTAAAATGTACTTAAAACACAGAATTATGGGCTCTTTTGTACCCATCCAAAGTTCCCATGTTGAGGTCCTAACTTCCAACACCTCAGACACTATGACTGAATTTGGCA